ATATATATATATATATATATATATATATATATATATATGTTCATCTCTATTTATCTCAGCCAGTCCATATCTTATTTATTCATTATCCAGTCCATCTATCTCTATCTATCTATCTATCTATCTATCTATCCATCTATCTATCTATCTATCTATCTATCTATCTAGTGGGATATACAATCCGAATAAAATTGGGGAAATTAATCAAAATAGAAAAAAAAACTTGCTTTTTTTTAATGACAAAGCTTCTTACATTAGTGTTTTAGGTTGGCGTCTTCAGATCAAGAATGGAAGACAAAACTGTCTTTTTCTATTAAAGCCGTTAGTTTATGCTTGTTATGTTCGTGACTTCCGTTTGGAATGAAGGGAACAAAACTGCGTATTTTTTGTTTTAAAACAGTTAATATCTATTGAATTTGAAATGAACTCATTCCGAGTAAATGGTGGCTATTCTCTCTATCACAATTTTGCCTGATCAGAAGGATTTACTAAGTAGAAAATGCTTTGAGAGTGCGCTGATCTCATAATTATCAACAATAAACCTAAGACCAGACTCATACATAATGATCATCGCAAAAGCAACAGAATCTCAATAGGAGCGGAGGCAGTCGCACCAAAAAGATATTGCTTCCATTGTGAACCTTGACAGTGGTTACTAAGAATTATTTATCGCTACATTTTGAGAGTTTATTTTTTATTTCCTATTCTCAATATTTACTAACGATTGTAGAATGACGATCTGATTATTGTTCTGAACAGCAATTGAAATTAAGATGAACAAACACACCAGATGTTTTCTCTAATTGCGACGAAAGATTCCGCTCTCAATGAGGCTCCATAATTTGAATTTCTATTGAATTTCAAGTTTTCTTCAGCCTTCAAGTGGAATTCATATATATTCATTACTAAAGAAACTGGAAAAGGGTATGCTTGCTATATCTCGCTACACGAAATGTGACTCCTCCAACAATTCTTTAGCTTTTCCAGAATTAGATTTGACCAAAATGGACGAATTCTGGCATATGTCAGCTGTAGCTACTTCGTCCCCGATAAAGTTCACAATCGTTTACGATTTCTTGTAGGGATGACATTTTCTCTCTGCCGTCTTTTTTGCCATGAACACAATAGACCTGGGTAAGTCGATAAACTACATCCAGCGGCAAGGCATCTGATCTGGAGATTGGAAATTTTGAGGAGTGTAGAACCACCTTTTAATCGGTAATATTCAACAAAAATCAAAACTCAATACATTTTTATATTAAAAATACCAGTAATACATTTAAAAAAAAAATTTACCAAAAATACATTTTTATAGCAAAATGACCAGCAATATATTTTATAGTAGAATTAGCAACAATACATTCTATAATAACATGAACAACAATAAATTTTTATCACAAAATGACCAGAAATATATTTTTATAGCAAAATAACAATCAATACATTTTATAGTAAAATTGAAGATATTGCGTACATTAAAAAAATACAGAAAAAAAAAGACAACTTTCTATGATTGATCTCACTTCTTGTAAGGAGAAACAATTTTCAATTCACTTTTGTGTTTTTAAGATTATTTAGTTAAAAATACAGCTAAGTTATTTTAATTTTACAATTTTACAAAATATAAATTATAATTTAATCATGCAATAATCTCATTCTATTGAATTAAATATAAAGTTTGAAATTTATATTTAGATTTCGGCCTTAAATAACCCATAGAGGTGTTGATATGCCGCTAAACAAAAACAAACAATCCAGAAAGACAACTTTGCAAGCCAGTCGCTTATTCTTTCGTTACATCTATGCCAAATGTTAAGATGATCTCTATTCTTCAGTCTAGACCGTTATTGCTAAAAGTCGACAAATTGCTCTAAGAGGATCGTTATAGAAGTGAAATGTTAAATACCGTATTTGACGGCGTATAAGGCGCATTTTTTTTTTACTAAAAATATCTTTTAAAATTCCACTGCGCCTTATATTCCATATGTAGGTTTACTAATTGTACTAATTAATAATTTTTTCTTGATTTAACCTGATGAAATTGGGGTGCATCTTATACACCAGTGCGTCTTATATGCCATCAAATACGGTAATTTGATTCAGGTATTTAATTGTTTAATTATATCACATTGGTTTAGAACTAATTTAATAAGAAATGGATATATAATGAAATAATCTGTTGGCCTATTAATTGTAGGCGACACAAATATAATGGCAAAACACACACACACACACACACACATATATATATATATATATATATATATAACTATACCTAATCATGAGACATGATGATGGTGATAGAAAGGCATGAGTCTATCTTCCCCTGTACACTTTATAAAATATTTAGGCAATTCGATGCTATGAAGATGATTCTTCATTTTGGACTAGTATGTATTTCTCTGTTTACTCGGACTGTCAGTCTAGGGCATCGATTAAATAGCACCGTTCAAAAATAGGATAAAAAAGGTATTACCTCTATAGTTAAATTTGACAAGACCAATAATAATAAAAAGTTTGGTTGATGGTTGACAGGGAAGTGGAATCACAAAATAACGCTTGGAGCAGTAGTATATTGCGTAGTAACCCAATATATATATATATATATATATATATATATATATATATATATATATATATATATATACGTAGTAACTCATTCAGTCTCTCTCTCTCTCTCTCTCTATATATATATATATATATATATATATATATATATATATATATGTATGTATGTATGTGTGTGCGTGTGTATATATTGGATAGTAACCCAATAAACATCTTCTTAACTGCCTAAACAGAAACAGCAAAAAGCAAATAAGCTGGTTTCATGTATAGTACGACCCTTGAGTTTTTGGCCAAAAGCCAGATTTTTTTTTCATGTAGCTCGTGTGATAAGATAAAGAACAAAGAAGAAACGTTTAGCAATCTAACATGTTTCGCTTTTATTAAAGCTTCACCAGAGAATGGTGAAGGTTTAATAAAAGTGAAACGAATTAGACTAATAAACGTTTTCCTATTTGTTTCTTATTATTCTGTCAACTTCCGATCCATATTTGATCTGTATTTGATCCCAACTCATATAGTTCATTTACAATGCAACCACAGCTTCCGAAAAATATTAGTAGACCTAATATTTCTGTACTGGGCATCAATCTGGACATATTTTATGGCAAATAAATGGTCTTTATTCTTTTCTTTTTTATTTTTTGTTGTACAAAGCTAACCTAAAATGGTGAGAAAGCCCACATTTCGTAAAATAAACGTCGGTCGACAATAAGGATTGTTCTAAAATATCTTTTGAGAATCCCGGATATAAATCAAACAAAATACTCACTATCGTCGTAATACTTTTTATTTTTATTTTTAGGCAACTATTTAAACAAAACTTGGCTTCTCTTTGCATTAATTCCAATTGGTTTACATTTTTACTTCAATACGTATGTTGTTTTCGGATATATAAATCTTTGATTTTCTGCGCGTCGTGTACGTTTTGTTTCCTCCCAGTCTTACATTCTTTTTTCATCTTTCTATTTTTCTTTCTCTTCTATATCATTTCCCACCTTCTATCACCGAAACTTTATTGCGAAAAGAAAATATTATTATTGATTTTTTTTCCCCCTCAAACCCGTAGGTAAAGGTTAAAGAGAATGAAATATCCAGCGACGTAATGGTCGCCCTGTTCTTGCAGTCGATTGTTGTTTGGATCAGCTGACACAACAGGGGTACACAAAAAGTAAGATAAAAATAACATTTAAAAAAAAAAAAAAGTAACTCTTCGCTGCCACAAAAATCAATAAGTACAAATAAGAAATTAATCAATCAATCGATCGATACTACTTCTGATATTACGAATATCTACAACAATAATCGTATTATTAAGAACAAGACTTGCAAGTGCAGTCAGTGTAATTTATGGAAATTGCTAAAGAGAAAAGCAATAGCAGCAGTCATTGAAGAATAAACAAACTGATATTCAAATGTTTCCGTGCATGGATACTTAACTAATAGGACACAAAAGTGAGTTTGTTAGACAGACAGTTATATAGACCCACGGATAAATGTGGACAGTAGACGGATAAATGTGGACAGTAGACGGATAAATGTGGACAGTAGACGGATAAATGTGGAGAGTAGACGGATAAATGTGGACAGTAGACGGATAAATGTGGAGAGTAGACGGATAAATGTGGACAGTAGACGAATAAATGTGGAGAGTAGACGGATAAATGTGGACAGTAGACGGATAAATGTGGAGAGTAGACGGATAAATGTGGACAGTAGACGGATAAATGTGGAGTGGACGGATAAATGTGGACAGTAGACGAATAAATGTGGAGAGTAGACGGATAAATGTGGACAGTAGACGGATAAATGTGGAGAGTAGACGGATAAATGTGGAGAGTAGACGGATAAATGTGGACAGTAGACGGATAAATGTGGACAGTAGACGAATAAATGTGGAGAGTAGACGGATAAAAATGTGGATAAATGTGGAGTAGACGAATAAATGTGGACATAGACGGATAAATGTGGACAAGACGAATAAATGTGGACAGGAAAGTGTACACGGAAGTGTATAGCAGAAAGATAGACACGAATAGACTTTAGTTGACAAACGAACTTTAGTAGACGGAGAGACATGGACAGACCTGAGTAGACGGATAGACACGGATAAACTCTACTAAACAAGATAAACTTTAGTAGACATAGATATAAACTATAGTAGACAGACAGACACTATAGATCCTAGTAGACATCTAGAAACGTATATAGACTCTAATAGGCAGACAGACTTTAGTAAAGAGAGAGACACGGGCAGATTTTGGTAGACAGACAGATGGACTTTAGTAGACAGACAGACTATAGCATGCAGACACTCAGACGAGAGTGGGCAGACAGACACATAGATTATAGTAGAACGATAGAACGTAGAGACAGCGAGACACGGACAAACTTTAGACAGACAAGTAGAAATAGATAGACCCTAGTAGACAGACGGACTATAGACGATAGACACGGATAGAATCTTGCAGAGAGAGAGCGAGAGAGAGAGAGAGAAAGTGAGTGATTGAGAGAGAGAGAAAGCGAGAGAGATAGAGACAGAGACACAGAGAGACAGACAGAGACACAGAGAGAGAGAGATAGAGACAGACAGTAGAGATGATCATAGACAGTAGACAGATCGATAGATACTCATAGACTATAGTATACAGACATACAGAGCATAATAAATTGTCGTCTAAATTACGCAAAAATGAAAATAACACTGACATCATATTTTAACAGATATATTTGGCAAAATATGCACAAAAAATATCTTGAAATACTAAAGAGTAAATTTATTAAATAAAATCGCCATTGGCTTAAACAACGACCTCCAGACGACTTCGGAATCTCCTGCAGCTCTTCTGGACAGTCTTCTTGTTTAGGTTGGTAAATGCTGCCATAATCCTTGCCTTCAGTTCATCTTTGGTCGTACGAGGAGTTTTGTTGGCCTCTCGTTCAACTGTACCTCGCACATAATAATCAAGGGAGTCGCAGTTTGGGGAGTTAAGTGGCAATTAAAATTATTATTACTATAATTATTATTATTATTATTACTATTATTATTATAATTGTAGAATAATTTATTTGCATTAAATTAGTTTTCATTTAAAAATAAAGCTTAATTATGTAATATTTCTTTGAATATTAAAACCTCAAAATTTTTATATGTGAAAAATAGAATATTGTCTTATGTCAAATAGCTATTAAGGTGTCTACCAAGTGACGAAATGTTAAAAATTTATCTATTATGAGCCAGAATTTAAGGGAAAAGAGATTCATGCCTTTCTCAAATATATTAGTACTAAGTGAACATGAGCAGCCTCAGTTCAAAATTCAGGATTTGTTAATTCGATGCTACTATTATGCTTCATTTTATCCCCACTTATTATATGTATATATAGCAGGGATAGTGGGTTCATGACTTTATCAATAATATTAGTATTACGTGAATATGCTCGGCCTCAGACGAAATTCGAACTTAGTTTGTAGATTCTATTTTTCCTACTCATAATTGTTATGTTTCATATCATCTCCATTTCTATACATGTGGTATAGAAAACAGAGAATGGCGTGTTCATGCTTTTCCCAATGACATTTGTTTAGACGTTCATAATCAAAGGGAAATTATAATCTTACACTGAATGGTTACAAACAGTATCGGCTACTATGGAAGAGGTGTCTACATTTTATCGGAAGGAACCGGGTCCAGTAAGAATGCATACTAAATTTAAAAACATAAATGTTTGTCGCTACATCTTTAAAATTTCATCCGAGCCCTAAACACACACAAAGACACACACACACGCACATAAACACACACACACACACACACACACACACACACACACATATATATATATATATATATATATATCATATATATATATATGTGTGTATGCCATGACAATATTTCTTAGCACATTTAAGAGGATTATGCAGCACACTAATGTGCTGTGGCAGAATGGTTGAGAATCACTCATCTAATGGCAGAAATATTAAGTGAAATAAATAATATATATATATATATATATATATATATATATATATATATATATATATATATATATATATATATAATTCCATGACTGAGAATATTATTTAATCTGATGCAAACCTTCTACACTGAAGTTTTACCAATTTGTCATTCAATAACCCATGCATATATATATATATATATATATATATATATATATATATATATATATATATATATGTGGTTGGTTCTGCACAAAGCCTTCACTCACCACTATATAATCAAATCAAATGTGCTGGTGTCTGGGCTGTCGGTTCCTAGGAACTGAGTTGTTTGAACCTCATACGTCGAATACGACGGGGAGTCCGCCACCTTTATATATATATATATATATATATATATATATATATATATATATATATATATATATATATATATATCAGAAGAGTTGCATAGTTGCAATATACAACATAAGGAGTCCTAATCATCATTGCAAACGAGCAGCCATTCTGAAGATAAACTATACCGATATTCACCTTGATTTCAAGTAGAAACAGTTCTTATGATGTACCTATCTTTTTTTGAAATAATATTGCATTTTAGATGATCTCGGTTCATTGGCAAAACTTCTCAAAGTAGAAGTTTTTAAATTTTCTTATATACATACGTATATATATATATATATATATATATATATATATATATATATATATATATATAGAGAGAGAGAGAGAGAGAGAGAGAATGAGATTGCTTATTTCCTTTAAAGTTCTCTATCTAAATCCAGATGTTTCCATATCTCGCTTTCATTGTTCCTCGTCTCAAATGATTTAATCGAAGGTACCAAACCAATTTTAACTGACGGTTCTTAAGAAATGACCAAAGGAAATTTTTACTTGATATGCGGCAATCTGTGTTGGTTCTTCACAAAAAAATTGCAGTCTGCCTTCAAGTAGAAACAGTTCTGACGATGAATATAGAGTTTTAGCGAAATAATATTCTTTTTTTCGATGACCTCGGTTCATAGGTAAAGTAGAAATTTTCAAAACTTTTCTTACACACAGACAAACATGCCTCTCTGCCTCTCTCTCTCTCTCTCTCTCTCTCTCTCTCTCTCTATATATATATATATATATATATATATATATATATATATATATATATATATATATATATTACAGAAAAAACAAAAAAAGACGTTGATGGAACCAACGGACAACTGGCGAAAACTTAAAACTCGTATCCAGTTACAATTTCGAATAAAGACAATACTAAAAAAAATAGTGTAAAGGCCTAAATGAAAACTTATCTTCTCAGTAAAGTGCATGAAGCCTACATTGCCTAGACCGAGCAAAACACTCTTAAGAACGTTAAACCCTCTGAAATGGATGGCTCTATTCAAAACTCGAGTTTCCCGCTCAAGCGATCTTCAGACGATTTGAAAGTTCAAGATTGCTTAAGCGTAAAATCTGATCGTATATATATATATATATATATATATATATATATATATATATATATATATTACCGAATATACATAATATCCAACGTCGATGACATGATTCGGAGTTTCATGCAGTTTCTGCAATCTTCAGGTGCAAATACAATCTAACCATTAATTCGCGATCTCATTGTGATGATTCAAAGATTTGTGTTAAAACTTGATTATTCAATTATTACTGCCCAAAATATTAGGATTAAATAATAATAATTTATATAATCTAAATTCATACGTTCAAAAAGCGGAGAAATAAAAAAAAAAAAATTAAAGAAAATTTGAAAAACAATTTTTTTTAAAAATATTTGAATTTAAATTTGGGTTCAAAAGTAAACAAAATATCAAGTGGGGTAACTCTCATATTTGACAGAAATATCACAATAATATCAAATAACAGAAATAATACTCGGATGGAAATATATAATGGTGAAATAAAATAATATATATATATATATATATATATATATATATATATATATATATATATATATATATATATGTTGGCGCTATCTAACTAATATGTTTCGAAACAAGCTTTGTACTTGTAGGGTGAAATTATATAAACACACGTTCTAAATAGATTGAGTACAGTAATATTACATCATATGTGTTTATAGATATATAAGAAATGTTATTAATGATAGATTTGAAGAATAATAAAATTTGTTGCATATTATAATATTCGTGTAATCCATTTTGCAATCTCTTTTAATTGGGGTCGATGTATTTTAGCAGGTGCTTGGATTTAGGTGTGCATGTAACAATTAATTCGGACTAATGCATGGAATAATAATGCAACACAAAATGTACTTAGAACAAAATGTATTGAAACAAGAAAGTGTACACAATATTTACATATAGTCTTTTGTATATTCCTGGTAAGACCGTTCCTGGAGAATGTGTTGACTGAGTCGCAGTCGGGCAGAGTATCTGGTTGAATCTCTTGATCCCTCCCTCTCTAGGATACCAACCATATTTATATGGTCGGTACTCCACTATGCAAATTAGGTGGATCCTACCACAACACCCCCCTCCCAAGCCTTGGAATCCCTTTTGGATTTCAAACTGGCTTGGGAGGGGGTTAATGTTCTACTATCCACCTAATTTGACCAAAGTCGGTACTCCACTATGCAAATTAGGTGGATCCTACCACAACAATATCACTTGATGATTAGTAGGGATAATTCCAAGGAGGATATAAATCCAAAGAGATCTCAATGTAAGAATAGAGCAATATAATAATGAATAAAGAATCCTTCAAAATACATTTCATAGGTGATAGTTTATTTCGTGGACACAGACGACCATCAGATAAAATTTTACAAAATAAGATTTTTATTATTTTAGACTATCACCTACCAAATGGATTTTTTAAAGATTCTTTATTCATTATATATATATATATATATATATATATATATATATATATATATATATTCAAGCATGTTTCATTAAATAATATAGGCATACTATGTCTATATATTTTTATAATACTCCTTTCTAGTTCCCTAATGATCTTCTTGATGCTATGTTGGAATTCATCAAAGGAGGCCTCGATTTTTTTAATTAATGAAACAGGCTTGAATGAAGATATGCTGACTAAATGTGTACGCAGACACACACTCACTCACTCACACACATATATATGTATATAATAATAATAATAATAATAATAATAATAATATAAATAGTTATACTCGTCTGGAAAAACTTTACAAGCATTGGCTTGTAAATGAACAAACCAATGCCCAAGAAAAAAATAAGGGATAAAAATAGAAAGAACTAAAACACATGTCAAGTAATTCTAGCTCAGAGTTCAAAGAAATAAACTACAAAACTAACTAAAATGCACTAAGTAGAGCAAATCTAAACATGAACTCTACTCTACTTTTTATGCCCAATGTGACTAGTTTAATTAATAGATGGCATATGAGAAAAATTAAGGACAAACCACGTACATACCCACCCCCCAAGTGTAATTGTAGGAATTAAAAAAGCTTGTCCCCTATAAGGATAAACTAAGTAATACTGATAAAAATCCCAAGGTATATATAGGATTTACCCTAAATAATTTTAAAGCTGATACTATAACCATATTAGTAGTTTTAATAACGAATCGGAAAAGCAAAACATCACGTTATCTACTTATGTATGGAAAATTAAACAAGACGATATTAAAGACTCCATTTTGAAATGGGAAATATTAAAGAAATGTCATAAGTATAAAGCGGGTGGTAAATTTTGTTCAGTATGCACAGTGGAAAAATTAGCCATTGCTTTGTATAAAGAACCCGATAATCAGCTAAATCTAAAATCTGAAATTATGAGTAAGTGTAGACAGAGGAAACGCTGGTTACTAGAATAGGTTTAGGTTGTCTTTCCTTTTTTTTCTTCTGTTATTGAAAAAATATGTAACCCCCCCCCGTTGTTGAGTTACTGTTTATTTTTTTAAGTTAGTCACGTGTTCATGGCTGTTTTTATGTTGTAGGCTATATATTCTGTTCCAATTTTACCTATTTAGCCAGTGCACCATGACGATCCACGTAGGTGAAACCTAGGTAGGTCTACCTGGGTCTTTAGGTTCATAGTTTATATATATATATATATATATATATATATATATATATATATATAATTATTACAAAAACGAAGACTTTAAGAGATCATTGTGATTTTATTTCGTTAGAACCGATATCAGTTCTAACTCATCAGACCGCATATTTAAATATTTGAATATGCGGTCTGATGAGATGGAACTAATATCTCTTAAAGTCTTCATTTTTATAAAAATTATCATTTCCTTTGTCTTCTCATTGAGATCTCTTTAGATTCATAAATAAATACAGATTACCAAATAACATATATATATATATATATATATATATATATATATATATATATATATGCAGATAAAGAGACAGAGAGAGACAGAGAGAGAAAGAGAGAAACAGAGTGCAATATCCAGATCAAAATATCTAAAACCATCATTTCTTGCTCGCAGGTTAGCAGTTCTTCCTCTCAGATGCCAGATTGATAATGTTTCTTTTGCATTTTATCCTAATTTTAACTTGTACAAAAAAAAATGGAATCGTGCCCATTTTTCAGTTTTTATAGCACAGAAGCAAGCTTCATATAAAACTGATCATCTGAATATTTACGTACGATAGTCGATAGTCCAGATTTACGATACAAACGACAGAATAAACTACACAAGCCTTTATCCATTTGATAGCACCAGATCGTAAATCGGCGTGAATTCGTTACAATATGTCGAACAACTTATAACAGACGAATACCCAGGATGGTTGGCAATATTAAATAATTAAACGCACATTTATTTCATTTCATAATGAATCGCCGTGAATCAGAAATATGACAAGGTTTAACCTATTAAAGTCTTCTTAGCGATGATCAGAATTATTGCTTACTGCCTTAGGAGAGGATTTGACAAGTCTTCGGCCAGCAGAGCTATACGTCAGTGATGGAAGGTATCCAAAATTGTTCTCTTATTCAATTTGACGATTACGTTCAATTGTGTTTTATATACTGGGTGTAACAACAAAATTGTCCGAATCGGTGTAACAGCATAATTGTCCATCCCACTAATTATTTAATATCTAAAAAAAAAAACGCTAAATGAATTCAGCTTCTTTTTTCAGATAACACGTTTAGCTATCTTGACATCATTTTCTGTAAGAATCATTGAAATAACCTTTTGTTATTCATTTAAAAAGAGAACAGGTTAAAATCGTTTTGCGTCAAACCCACTGGCTTCCCAAATGAGCAATGGTGAGAGGAAAAAGATCATTCCTGTCTTCAGTAATGGTACCAACATTCATACTCTGGCTTCCATCTTCAAAGTCCATTCAAGAACCATCCAGAGAATGGTGAATAAGTTTCAACATGAAGGAATAGCAGAGAAGAAAACTGGATCAGGCGGTCACAATAGTAAGAGAGATCATCATTTCAACTCAGAGCTAAAGAGATCAATTAGAAAAGATCCAACTCAATGCATAAGACGTTTGCACGTCAGAGAGGAGTTTCAGCTATGACAGTCCAAAGAGGAGTGAAAAAAAAAAGTTGAAAATGAAATCGTACGTGAAACGTGTGAAGCAGCTTGTTATTCCAGGATAGAAGGTTAGAATGTTAGAGAGGGAGAAGATCATCTTGAATAATTCTGAAACGGATCCTGGTATAATAAATATATATTTGAACTTTATTTCAATATTTCATGGTCTTCCGATCCTTAGCTCTGATTAATTAATGCTGAACAAGTCATTTTCGTTTATGATCGATTTCATCACGATTCTTCTGTTAAGCTTAGAGAGCAACTATGCATTCTTATTACTCAAAGTAGAGTTAAATAAGGTTATAAAAACTTCAAAGAATTCCGGTAAGTTATCTTTAATCCTTTCGAAGATACAACGGTCCAGAACTTAATCTAACAATTGGACAATTTTGCTGTTACACCCCGTATATGTA